AGTGTCTTTATATTTTTACACATGCAAACAGTGTCTTCATATTTTTACACATGCAAACAGTGTCTTTATATTTTTACACATGCAAACAATGTGTCTTCATATTTTTACACATGCAAACAATGTGTCTTCATATTTTTACACATGCAAACAGTGTCTTCATATTTTTACATTATGCAAACAGTGTCTTCATATCTTCACTATTTGTTCAGTCTTACAGGCAGCAGAAATTTTATCATAAAAGGTATGAAATGCTTTTTTTCTCAGACCAAACTCACTTTGAGCAGCAGATGCAATGATATGGAATAAATTTAGGAACAAACGTCGATTTCTTTTTTAGGTTTGTCTTTGTTTACAGCAAAATGAGTCTAAGCAAAGTTTACACTGAGCTTAACTTATTGGCTGCTCTTCTTATCTGAATTAAAATAAGGACATTTGATGAAATGAGAGCAGTGACACCCACCTGCTGCTGAACTTTGACCAGAAGGAGATGAACTTCCTGAAGCTGTCTTCAGTCCAACCAGAGCTGGGAGGGATTTTAACCACCTGTCCCTCGTTTACACCAATCAGTCAGTTCTGGTGACACCCACCGGCCGCTTTATTAGGTACAGTAGGTTTAATCTTGTAGCTGGAGGAGCACCTAAACATTCATGACGAGTAACGTCTTTAATTTCCTGCTTCTGAATATCATGAGGATTATTTTCTCCTTCTTTTGACTGAAATTCTGTCTGATAGACAAAGGACTAAAGTTTATATGGAGCCAATCATTTTGCACATTTCTAAATTTGTCCAACATCTCTTAATGTTTTTGGTCTGGCTTCTGGTGCAATTGTCTGATTATACTTGAAATAAAACAAAACAAACTTTTAAGCAACTTTCAACAAGATGTAGCAGCTTGTTTTAAGATAATGATTCCTTAAAATTGATCAGATAGGACTTGTTTCATTGACAAATTATTTCACTTATGATATTTTCCCACAAGCCAATGAAACAAGGTCTTTTTAATACATTTTAAGGAATTATTGACTTAAAACAAGTTTCTATATCTTGCTGAAAAGTTACTTGAAATTTAGTTTTGAATTCTTTCAGGTATAATAAGATATTTTCCCTAGAAATCAGAAATATAGTTGGTAAGATCTTATGTTTTTGCAGTTCAATTTTGACAGGAGCAGCATTTAATGCCATTTCCAACTCTGAACAATGTATTTCAAGATCTGTTGACACTATTTAGCTCCATAAACTGATTATTAAAGCTACTTTAACTTTTTTATCATCTCAAACCAGTTATCCTCTGCTCACTGGTCATTTTTTCTTCCCTCTGCAAACTTCAGATGGTTTTGCATGAAAAACTTAGCAGATAATCAGTTCCTGAAATGGTCAAACCAAAGTCACTTAAATCTCCTGTCTTCCTCACTCAGCAGGACGTCTTCGCATCCAGGTGCCTCAATATATTCAGCAGCTGTCACATGATCAAAACCTGTCTGTAAACAACCATCAAAACAGCTGAACTTTGTTTTTGGGTCTTGGGATTTTCTCTATTCATTTTTATGTATCCAGTGAAGTTTTCTCTTGCATTCCCAAAGTAAAAATTTAATAATTTACATTGATGTGAAAGGCCTTTTGAATGACCTGTTGAAATATTTTGACGTTTTTAACCAACTTTTAAATCCATTAAGAAACCATTCAGTGCACATTTTATTTCATATTGAGAGACTAACTACCTTAACTTCAATTGTTCTGCTTTCCAAAGCCAAAAGAGCAGGATTTGAGAACAGGCGGAGAAAGAGTAACGATTGTCGAGATGAAAAGAGGCAGAAAAGAGGGGCTGTGATTCTGGGACGTGAGAAATGAAATAAAAACACGAGATAGAGGGATTAGTGTAAGCAGGTAGAAAGGTAGACTCGGAGAGATTAAGACAGTCAGATTGACGGAGTGGGGAGTGAATCAATGAGCTTGTCGATAGTGAGTGGGAGAGACGAGATGAGAGAAAAACGCGGCCTGGAAGAGCAGGAGGAAGAAAGCGCCCCCTGCTGAGCTGGCGTCCCGCTGAGAAAAATTGGCCCAAGAGAAAATGAGACTCTGCAGCGCTCTACAAGAGATTGAGGAAGCCAGCTTTTACTTTGTCTTATCACAGAAAACAGGTTTATATATTCAAGATAGCGCGGCGAAGGCTATTCTCAGGGGAAGCAGCGGCAAAACGAGGTAATATAAGCTTAATGTTCGAATTGAAAAATTACTGAGACTCGTAATAAATCTTTAATAGCAGTAAAAGACTAATTATTCTGGGCTGAGGCTGGAGGATAGATGGATGGAGGAATAAATGAAGAAGGTAATGAGAGCTGTGATGCCAGAGGCTATTTATTAATGAGGATTACCTGTAATGTTGTCTGAAGCAAGCAGCACAATGACAACAAATAAAAACAAATGATTAAATCATTGCAGACGGTTCTAGACAGCGGCACACAAAAGGCCTTTAAGCTGTGTACTCATTCACTTTGTTCAGTCATTTTAACTTTAACCCATTATATGCTCATAAATTTTACACGTACAGCAGTTTATACATCTACCATTAATGTCCACAGTTAATTATTGTCACTTCCTAATGTTAGAAAAGCAGAAGCCTGTAATTATCAGATATCTCAGCTGATGATCAATAAATATTTCTACTGAAACTTCTTTTTAATCATCAGTTACAACTTGTACAAAAAAACTTGCAATGTCTGAATTTCTTTTGTATCTTTATATCATGTTGTTGTATATGTTGCTATAGATTTAATAGGTTTGGCATACTTTTTGTTTTTTTGTGTCTTTTTTAATGTTTTTTATTGCGAAGCACTTTGTAACATTTGTTTTAAAAAGTGTTCTACAAACAAAATATGATAATTATCATGATATCAGTCAGGTTTTCAAGTCCCAATAAACATTTTGGTATTGATTCGATACTTTCTATGTTTGATATATCATAAAACTTCTGATCGTTAGCCATTTTGTGTTTTTTCCATAATTTGGAAAAGTTTGTGTCAGCAAAATACTTCAAAATCATGTTAACATCAAAATAAAAAATAAAATAAAATTTTTGGCATGAACAGGAGTTTCTTAAAGAGACAGATGCCAATTTCAAAGCATCAAATTTTAAGTTTTTGCAATTTCATAACTTAACATAGTTACTTGATTGTGCTAGAAATGGAAGTATGTGGCTGGAAAACACATAATGCTGCCCCTTTAAGCATGTATTAAACAATGCTTTCACTAAGGATACATTTCTATATTGAAAATGTTCTTTTATTGGTTTGATGTGACATTCTCACTTTAAACATCAGGTTTTCATGAGCAGAAAACCATCATAATTAGAAACACAGACAGACGCAGTAGAGAAAAGAGTTTCTCTGTAAAGATTTCAGAGGAAACTGTTGAGTATGAACTCCAGCAGACTGGAAAGTGAGTAGGTAAAATACATTATTAAACAATGCCTCCGAGTAACAATAAAGGGAAAAGAGGTCTGTGGAATATAAAGTACAACAGGTTTTTGGGATAAATTGTTGATTGAGCTCATTTTCCCAGCTCTGTTTGCTTTTCTGTCTTCATGAGTCACGAGCATCTTTAATCCGGATAAAAAAACAAACAACAACTGATCAATCAGAGAAATCAAACTTCAGCTGAAAGACTTGTCAGTTTTTATCCCGATACCTCTGGATGGGAAACATACAGTTGAAGGTAACGCTGAGCTGCTGCCCTGGGGTTTTTCTTCTTCATGCTGCTCCTCCGTCACATTACAGATTTTATTTGAACTAAACCGCTTCTGATGTCAGAGCCTCTCCTCACTCACTTTATATCTCTGTCAAACGCTGAGCCCAGCAGGGACCAGGATGAACTTAACGATACGGTTAATTAGCCACAAAAGTGAACAAATGCTCGCTGACAATGAGCCTGTCTCATCTCATCTGATCTGACAGCGGCTCGGTGGCAGCTACACTGAAGGATAAGATGCAGAAAAGAAAGTCAGGCAAATCCAACGGCTAACAACAAGATCAAACACCATGTTGTACTAACGTTTAATTCTCAAAGCGGAGGTGCAGGAGAGTCCTGGATTCAGAACATGGAGGCTGTCTTATACTTTTCCAAAAATAACCAAATTAGTCTAAAAACAATGTCTAACTGCAGAATTGCATCGTAGTTTGCTTAATCTTATCAAAGAGGACTAGGGGCATTGCAGAAAACATAGAAAGGAGTACATTTCTAAATTTGACAAGTTGAGAATTTGCTGGAAGAAAACATTTTTTTAGGTCAATCTCAGACATGTTGTATAAAAAAAACAAGGAAATGTCTGAATTTGAAGTGAAAAATTTGTGAGAAGAAACCTCAGAAATTTTGAGATTATTCTCAAAAATTTTACAGAAATTATTTTTGAAATTTCTGAGTTTAAAAACTCAGGAACATTTAGGTCAAGCTCAGAAAATTTCTCCAAAAAAACAACAAAATGTGTGAGCTTCAAAAGTCAAAAATTTGCAAGGAAAAAAACTCAAACGTTTTTAGCTCAATGTCAAATTTTCTAAAAAAAACAAACAAAAAAACATCTTAGCTTTCAGTAAAAATATTGCAAGAGTGAACTACTGAGATTAATCCCAGAAATTTTCTAGAACCCCTTTTAGCCCCCCTTAGGCTCCTGTTGCAAGAGAATCAGCTGAACGCACAATCATGATTGACAGCGCTAAGGCCCTCCTCCTGGCTCTGATTGGCTGTTTCCAGGTGGCGCTTTGAGAAGGAAGGTGCTCAATTTTTTTTAACAGATTATTTGTATCATACCACAAATCTGAATTAAATCAAACTAAAAGTGTAAAGCAAAAACAGAAAGTTGAAAAATCCTTGGGGTGTTTTACAAATCCGAAGATTATAAGCGGAGTTATTCAGAATGAATAAAAATGAGCTTATGGTTTCATGTAGGAGTTCTTTCTCCTCATAGTTTCCAACATATTTCATCTTTTCCAGAGATAATGATCACAAAGTCTTTTTGATTTACATTTTATTTGACAAGACAGTGAATTGAAAAACATACAGTATAATTCCCCAAAAGCATACAAAATGATAAGTGATACATAAGAAAATTAAACGAAATCAATAACATTCACAAAAATATGGTTATATTTCCAGTGCATGAGAGTGGCTTTTGTTTCAGCATTCCTATCTTCCTTTTCAAACACATCCTGTTTGTGTGTCACTCGTCTCATCAGCGCTTCTACTGTCAAAGAATAAAATGTGAGAATTGAAAGGCTGAAAATAACAAAAGAAGGCACGTCTGGCTCCGTGACGAAAAGCTGAAGTGACAAAGGATGAAGGAGAGAGACAGAAAAAGGAAATAAAAAATGTTGGAATAATAAGGCTTAATGAAGCAGAGGATGCAGACTGATCAACCTTATCGTTGACGTGCACAGCTTATGGTTGTGGCGTTTAACCCGTAATTGTGAAGGTGGGGAGACCGAACAAGCACCTTGGCCGAAATGCAAAGCAGAGACTGAAGGGACAAACGCTTCATCTGTTAAATGATCTGTCTGGAGCTACTGCAGGATCTCCTCATTATGGATGAGGAGCCCAAGCCGGCCCATCCACACATTTGATTTCTTTGCAGATTTTGCCGTAAGTGTCAACCTTCATGACTATCAGGAATTGGCAAATCATGCATTTCAAGGTACCTCTAAATGACACACCGCTACTAAACGTGAGGCGCTGGGTAAAGCCAAATGATTCTCCAAATGAGACGGCAGAGCCAAAACTCATAACTGAACGCTTGCAGAGTCATTGGTCTCTGATGTAATGTGTCCTGATGATTGTCTTTTCTCCCTTTCCTCAATCTATCAAGAGCAGCCTGCTGGCAAACACATTAAACACATTAATCCACAGAAAACTAAACATTCATTCATTTTGTGAAATTAATTTACAGACAAAAAGAGGCAAAAGCGCCGCATTCCCTCTTTGAAGACAGCTTTTTGTTCTGCGGCAGGGTTATAAAATACATCACACATGATTGTCCAGCACAGCAACAGAAAAGCAAATTAAAAAGCTGGGCTGCTAATGTGACACAAGCTTTTCTACAAAATATGGAAATAGCTTTTTTTCCTCCCAAAATATCCATGCAGCATGCAGACATTTCCTTTAATGAAAAATAACATCAGAGCCTCCAATCAGAGGAACTTGAAAAGCTTTACTCCATTAGCATCTGCTATTTTCAGAAAAGAATAAAAACTTACAGTTAAAGAAAAATAACTACTTGTCATATATTTCTTAGAAATTTTCCAATTTCACTCAAAAATAAATGTGTATTTCTGCTACGTCTTCCTGAAAATAGACTAAATATTTCGGTGAGCATGCTGTAGTGAAGGAGACACTGTGGTGAATGTTTCCTCTAATTAGTTTCATCTTTTGCCGGGTTTTACTAGTAGAAGAAGAATCAGAGAAATCCTGGAAGGTGCCAACTTTAATCAAGCTAACAGCTAATCAAGCTAACAGCTAATCAAGCTAACAGCTACTTGAATGTTATGTTTATAAAAAATAACTTAAAAACCTTAAAACGTTTTTAAAATACAAAGAAATCCTACATTAGTGATATTTTACAACTTTTACCTGCTATTTGTTCATCTTTAGCTGTACCATAACCCTGTTTGACGTGTGTAAATTGAGTAGCTGTTAGCTTAAGTTAAAGTTAGCCAGTTTCTCAAATGGGATTTTTCCTCTGACAAGTAACTGGTATCAATTTGACTGCACTGTCTATTTCATCACAAATCAGATTTTTAAAGGATTTTTAAAAATTTGTCATCACTTTTGCATAAATGTTGTTTATCTTATACATTTAACTGTAAAATGTTTGTGTTGATATAAATAGGATGAAGTAGATAAAACCTCTAATGTTTTTCTAGAGTCTGTGAACAATTGTTTAAAAAAATAAGCTGGAGTAGAGATTACACAGGAAAAACACAATAAGTATGTTTTGCCTAGTTTCCTGTGCAAATATATTTTTACACTTGAAATAAAACAAAAATAAATTTTAAGTAACTTTTCGGTGAGAAATAGGAGCTTGCTTTAAGTAAATAATTCCTTAGTAGTGATGGAAAAGTACTTATTAAAATAATCTCAGTAGTCCTTTTTATGAATATTAAGGAATTATTGACTTAAATTCCTATACCATGCTAAAAAGTTAGTTTGGGTTTATTTCAAATGCACTAAGATATTTGCACTAGAAACTAGACCAGAAATACTTGGTAAAATGTGTTTTTGCAGTGAAACTTCCTCAGGGAGAATTTCTTAATGATTCTTCACATTATGGTCATATTGGATGTTCAACAGCAGGAAAGATACTGACTGCATACAGATACTGTAAGTTTTATTCGCTTATGTCAGGAAATAAGTGTTTTAGGCGCCTATGGTTCAGAAAATGTAGGTTATCTTCCTCATCATTCATTCAGCTTTTGCACGTGTTGATCAGCTCTAGAAATCTGCAGTTTATCCACCACCTTTTGCTGTCATGGGTGGTTGTAGCTCCAACCGGTTTTCTGACAGCTGACATGATGAACTCAGGACAATTTGTGTGGCTCAATGAAGATAAAGCATGATAAGGGGAAAAAACCAAACAAACAACCTGCATTTCTGTGTGTGTTGCACTCTGTGGCTGAGAGAAATTCAGTGTCTGCTGTAGTTTTGGATTTGTGCTGAAGACAAACACAGGCAGCCTGGGGAGCTGTCACAACACAAAAGAACACACGCCTTAAATTAGATTTAAGCTTGTGGTGTGCACGATTATGACAGATGCATCGAGACGCAGATTGTAAAAAAAACAACAAAAAGAAAAGCAGCGTTGTTTTCCGATATTCAGAAATGCTTTTACAAATGATGAAGATTTCTTTTGGGCAAACAGCCTCGGGAAAGTGTTTCTACAAGCCACTGATCATGCCATGCAGAGCAATATGAACAAGGAATAAAATCCACACCATTTATTTTTTTATACTCAAAACATCTTCGTATTAAGTGACAACTTTAATGGACTTGTGGAAAGCAAAATAGTAATATACACTTTGTTTTTTTAGTCGCTCGTTTGACGTTTAGCTGACTTCCATCCCCTGCACAGAGGCACTAATAACACCTACACCTGTTTATTTTATGTATACACATGTCACCAACAATATATTATAAATCAATATTATCAATGCTATTTACAATTTTTATCATTTGGTACCGTTTGACATCTGTGTTGACCAATTTCAGTTTCAGCCAGAGGACATACAGCAGGGTGAGGTGAGATTATATTTTTACCCTCATTAGCTAAAAAGCAAAATGTTCTGCATATATCAGAAAAGGTTATCATTTCAAATGGTTGAAATGGTTTCAATGGCAGTTTTTCTCTAATATATGCTGAGGTTTGACACATTATGACAGTCTATATATATTTTAAATAATTAAAAGCAGTGTGATTTCTGAAAGGAGGAATGTGTCTTTGTGTGACAGTTTGTGAATCTTTATGAACTCCAATGTTGTGAATTGCTACAGGCTGATTTACGCAGCTGTAGCGCCACCAGATTTTGCAATTAACACAACCAATACGGATCACGGCGTCTTAATTATGTAATGTTGCCAGGTTACAGAGCTTCAAATTATGCCTTGTCTCCTGTGTTCATGTTAACGAAGGCTTTGCTGCTCAGACAGCTATGCCACCAGAAAATACCCTTTTCCACATATATTAGAGACTTATTTAAAGGTTAAATAGTTTTATCTAAAAGAAAAGGAGTGAAAATTCACCATACCAACAAACCGAAAACATGATTTTCAGTCAGAGGTACATAAGTACATCCTCCCATTGCACTCAAAACGGAGCCACCTTGAGAGCTTTCTGCAGCTTAATTAGTCCAACTGTGATAAATTCAGTTGACTGAACATGATTTGGATATTATACCCTTATATACTTTAGATCTCAGACTTAACAGTTGATATTAAATCAAAAGTTCAAAGTCCGTAAACATTGTGGTTGTTTTTCTGCAGCAGAAAGTGGGAAACTGCTTTGCATCGGGGTGAGACAACCACCAAACACAAAGGATGTTTTGGAGTCTCTGGTGAGAATTCAGCTCCCAAAATGGCGGCGACCCGAGCAGACAGCCTCGAGAAGCAGGTTTCAGATTATCTGAAAAGATCCAAACATCCTGAAAGACTCAAGTTTCAAACAGAACTTGAGGCTTCGATTGATGCCAAAGTATAAAACCATGAGTGTCATGTTCACATTGTTAAAACTCCACAATGCCTGAAAACATGTTTTCACTTTGTTATGAAGGGTGTTTGTTGATTTTCTGCTTGAAAAATGTAAAAGAAACAACAAAAATGGTGTGAATCGGTTCTGGTACTTTTGTTTCTTCACTGGTGTGTTTCTCAGACAGGAAGTTGTTTTTTTCCCAACAGATTGGAGGAATTTTTTCAGGATGTTTTTTTTTGTTTGTTTTTTGTGTCAGACCTGTGTTAATCTTGCTTTGAAAGACAAAAATGTTTAAATTATGTCCCATGGCTGTAAACAGACAAGCTGAGACTCAGCAGCCTCCTTCTCACACTTTAATAACAATTTCATGATGTTAAATTTCATGGCACAAAACGTTGCATAAAACATTTCATATTAAATCCCAGGAATAGGCAGTTTTCTCACTGTTTTTGGTGGAAATGTGGATTTTAATTGGTAACCAATCAGAGCTCCAGTTCATCTATACAACGGCTCTGCATGCGGTTTTACAGCCCGCCTCATCTTATGCAGTGACACATATGATTTCAAAGGCTTCCTGGCTTGACAAGATAGAAACTTTAACTGAATTTCACAAAAGTTTAAAGAAAGAAAACTGAAAAAGGAAAATACAAGCTTGATACTTTTGTTAGCCATCCCGAGTTACAAGCTTTAGCTTTGATGTAAACACAAAAAGGAAACGTGAACGCAGGAAATGAAACCAAAAACCATCCGTGAGCGGATCACTTTAAAACTTTAGAGTTTACGATGAAAAGCAGAAACAGGTGTCATGGCCTCTCCTTTTGTTCTTCTGTCTAATTTAGGTGACCTGAAACTTTCCCGCGTACCTCTGTTGTGGTTTCATTGCTACGGCTACACATACATGGGGGTCGATACGAAGCTCTCGCCACGAGGAATGTTGCCAGACGAGGGTCCGTGATTGGATGAGTCGTTGCCGTGGTGACCGTCAGAGCCATCCTTGTTGAGGACGGGAGGGGCGCCGCCGTTCAGGGCGTCGGTGGCTTCCTCATCCAGCATCTGAGAAAAGGTCAAACAAGGTCATGTCTGCAACATTTCATCAGGAAAAATCCACAAAACTCAATTCTGCAACTGTTCAGATATTTATATTCATTTATGTTTTCTTCTTTATATTTAATCATTTAAAGAAACGTAATGTTTTGGTGGTCAGTGTTGGAAATACACACCTACTGCAAGGGCCACAAAATTAAATAAAATACTATTTTCAGCTTTGCCAAAACTTCCTGCTAATGAATCATTTTTAAATTATATCCATTTTGATCATTTTTCTGGACAAGGTGAGGTATATCTGGAGGAACTGTAAAAACATTTATCATTAATTTTATTTTATTTACCTATAGAGTTTGGCTTTAACTTTAAAATGAATAAAAACAGAATTTTAAAAATCTTTGTATTTAGGTGAATCTTCATCGGTTAAATAAGTTTTCATTAGACTTTTTTGCCACAAGTATCTTTAAAAATAAGTTTGCGTTATTTAAAACAAAACCCACCATGCAATATTTTAATAAAAAGCACTCAGTAGTCTGATCTTTGTAGAAAATGGATCTGTAAATGGATATTCATTTGATTGTCTCATCCAGCTAAATTTAATAAATGGGAGCACATAATTACAACAAAACTTTAAGAAAAAAAGACAAAATATAAATAAAAGACGTATTTGTCAGTGCACATGTACTCAAATGTTGTTTTTTTACATCAACTGTTCTTACAGATTTCTATTAGTTTTGAAATTAGATTGGAGGCCAGAAAAAATTATATTAAGGGCTGAAAAAGGACCCCAAACCGTACTTTGAACACCCTCAGCTGAAATAATTCAAAGAAAGCGTTCTTGTGACAACCAAATAACTGAATGAAACTTTTGTAGTTTAGCATTTATCATAAAGACAAATACAGTCATAATCTCAAGTCTAAATCCCAACGTTTTACATTTCAGGTCCTTACAAAACAATTTATTTCTCACATTCTTTGAAAGTTTCTAAAAGTACAAAAACAAGCAACAGATTGAAAGAGAGAAAAGCACATTTAGCCTGATATGTAAACCCTGGAGAAAGTATTTTCTTGGTATTCAAAACAAGAGTTGCCACATTTCTTTAGCATCAAAAGTTATGAAAAACGTTCCAGTGAACAAGTGGAATATATTTAAAATCCTGGGAAAATAGGTTTTCATGAAGAAAGAAATCTTTCTTAAAAAACAGAAGAAAAAAGCTCTGATTTGTTGGAGATTATTAGAGTTTATAAAAAAGCTGCACTCTGGACAAGATGGATTCTCAAGAGGTTTGTGAGATCACAAGGTAATCATTTGTACTTGGCTCCAGGCTATGAGAAGCTAAAGAGAAAATAAGCAATGACTTCTCTAAAAAAGGTTAACTCAGATGTTCCTGCAATGTCATCAGATAAGACAGGAAAGAGGAGTTCTTCAGCACCGAAAAAATCTCTCATTTAGACAATATTTATCACTCCGCTGGTCTGTGCAGCTCTACATGGAGACTCAAATTAAACAATTTGAGAATTTACTATGGATTATAAGAGCCAACAGTAAGAAAACGATAGTTTGGTTCCAGAAAGAACAGAGGAGCAACAGATTTCTCAGCTAACTCGTATCAACAGTTTAGTCTAAAGCGAACTAATAAAGCACTGATGGACAAAATGACTGATAAAAACCATTTACTGTTGGAATCTATCACAGGGTTCTGCTTCATTGTTTCCCTTTTTCTGGACTTCAATCTAAAAAGCAATCCCTAAAACTAAGACGAGGTCAGCAAAGTTTAAAAGAGTGCCAATTGGGGTCTTAGCAAAAGTTATGTGCTTTAAAACAAAATGCGTTTGTGTTGATGGAGCCTTTAATTCCTGCAGAGGAGACAGGAAAACTGACCGTCTCAGCAGCACAATCACATCTTTATAGCTCTGCACTTAAAGGCTTTAAAAGGTGCTGCATGACAATTTCCAAAGCGATAACATAAAAAATTTAACGCAGCTTTTTCAAGTATCTTGTGCTTGCGTGATTTTACTTTTGCACATAAAAAAAAAAAAAATCAAAAACTATTATCCAAGCAGGTGTTTTAGAGAGATGATGCTCTGAATGCTTAATGCTTGTAAAATCAGGTCAAACATGAAACATGAAACTGGTCAGTGTGGAAAGCGTCATGCAAAAAGCAAAAGAAAATCAGTTTAAACTTAAAAACACATTTCAGCTTTCTCACAAGGCAGAAAGAGGATAATTAGTAAAGAACTGCAATGAAAAGTATCACTAAGATACTAAACATTCAGCATAGAGAGAGGAAGCACAATATTTCAAAAAACATTGTCCCTAGAAAACTAGGGACAATGTCTCCTCTGAGCCAATAACACCTGCAGGGGTGACACTGATAGATTCCTGCACAGGATGGAGAGCAAGGAAAACCTTTTGGTCAAAGAAAACTATGTTAGGTTTGAAGAAAGAGCAGTTCTTCCAGTGCTAAATAGGAACAACCAATCAGAGCCAGGAGGTGGGTCTTAGCGCTACCAATCATCCACTGTGTGGTGCTGCTCATCCCCTTCTCTCTCTCCTTTTTTTCTCAGCTATGCTTCAGCTAGCAAAGCTTGTGGTGAATGCTAATGCTAGTTAGCATGGTTCATGAAAGTTTTTTTCCATAAAGGTAAGTTGTTTCTCCACCGTTAGCATATTGAGCAGTAAGTACCTGAGATTGATTGACAGCGCTAAGACCCTCCTCCGTGCTCTGATTGGCTGCATTTGTTCTCATATTATTCTGTCACAACATAGAGACAGTTTTAGCAAAAAACGTAACCAATTATCTTTTGTTTTATAAAAGTCACATACTGCAGCTTTCAGTGACCGAACTGAACTACTGCAGTGAGAGTTGATGCCAGAACTCTCACACTAAAGCACTCAAAGCTTCGGTATACATTTACAAACTTCTCCTTACTATTCCACACAACTTCACTTCAAAAAAATCTGAAGAAGTGGCTGACTGGAACAAAGCGGACAGCTCATGCTGGTCCGTATGCATGCAGTTCTCTGTCATCGTACGTCTCCCAGCCTTAGACACATTGGTTTTGTATCTGTGTGCACGTTGTGTTTGTGCATAAACAGTGTGTGTTAGTTACTGTGACAGGCTCTCCCCCTGTGGGCTCGTAGTAAACCTCTCCTGGGCTCAGAGGCAAAGTCTCTGTGGCTGTGGGCGGCTCTGACGGCTTGTTCAGCTGCATGCACGCAAATCAGCGCAGAAAGAGAGCAGAAAACACAAAACAGCACAGAAACAAGCAGTCAAGTGGAGAAGACAGGAGAGGGCCTTTGAAACAATCCAAACAGAATCTGTTCAGTGGATAACACAGCTGTCTTCAGGAACGCTCCTTTGAAAAGAGAAGCACAACCCTTCACTTGCACAAACACTGAATCGTATCCTTCAGCTTTGGTGCTTTCAGCAGCCTCTCATTTACATACAAAGAGGAGACACTTTGCTTTGACTCCCTTTGAAAATTATAATTTTTAAAAAGGAAAATAGCTTTGGCATGAACTTTGAGACACTTGTTATTCCACTGCAATTAAGCAATTACTGTGGCCCCTTTTACTACATCTCCTCAGATGCATTTTGACCTAAATTACTTCAGCTCTCAGTTTTACCCAACCACAATCATAAACTGCTCACGTAAAACAAAACTGGGGAACTTCTGTGCCCTCCACAGATTAAAGCTGTGACAGATGTTTATTTAGGTCTTTCCGGTGTTTCATTTAAGGAAACAAGCGACTGACTTAACTAATCCTCTGACCAAATGGTTACATCTTCTAAAAGGCGAGCATTAATCAGTTTTTAACAATCAGTTCTGCTGAGATCATTTTCACAAAGATTTGTAATGGATGACTATTTACATTTTTTCATTGCTTTGGTTTGTTGGAAGGCAACGGTTTCATGGTCTGGATGTGTAATCTGGACCAGAGCAGAGAATCCTGATGTCAACTCTCTTAGAAGTAAATTATGATTGACATCTCAGCAGAAAATCTTCCTTTTCAGCCGCCGGCAGCCGCAGACGTAGCTGAGAGCAGACAGTTGGCTGAGCTGCTCCTGCTTTAAACTATCATTTCTACTTTAACAAGATAACAGCTGTAAGCTTGAGGTGTTATGCTTTCAAATGTGAAAATCTCAGCTCTTCCTGCTCAACAATGCAGTCCAGGGTTGATGTGGAGATTATTATTCACTTAACCAATAAATAACTGAATAGCAAAAGATGCTGAATGAGATTTTTAATGTACTGAATTTGAACCAGGTGAAGGTGACACTTCAGGAGAACAAATTTACAAAGCTTCATTTTTTATATCTTAAATGCAAATGCATATTTAGAGCAGTATAATTACTGCTCTGACTGTATTGTTCATTCGGCAATTGGTCATTTTTTTTAGTGCTCCAGTGAACGATTAATTGTTAATAATGTGGATTCGTTGCGATTAACCTGATTAATGGTTTCAGCTCTACTTTTACATGAACTCACTAAGCCTGCAGTAAACTGACAGGGTTTTCAATAATGCCATTCATAGAAAACACATGTGGGTATGTTGTATAACAGTTTGAGAACTTTATCATCAAAAATGAAGGAGTTATGAATGCTGAAGCAAAGAGTATTATTTATAAAGTGTTGTCCTCTCACCGCCCTGAAAACCAGAAGCTTAAAGAGTTGCAGCCTTGATCATTTGCTCAGGTGCTGCTTCACAGAAAGACCTTTAAATGTCTGAAAAAGACCCTTTCGCTGCTGAACCACATGAACCATCCTTTTAGCCAAGGCGTTAAAAGCCATTAGACACCTTTTTTCATATCTAATCAACATAAAATTACTGAGTTTTTAGTCACATTACATAAGTGCACCAAAATGCGATGGAATGATCAGGCAAATAACGAAGTGCTCTAATGGGGCTCTTTACAAACCAAGATAATTATTTGGGCACATAGAAGCCAACTGAGATCTCCAATCAATAGCCATTAGCCCCATTATGACTGCCCAAATGGACTTTGTGTATCTGTGTGTGTGTGTGTGTGTGAGAGAGACGATAATATAACTGTGGTGACAATAAGGATCGATCTGAAGCAATGCCGATCACTCACCATCTCTGTTGAGCTGCCTGCCTTCACCGGAGGAGGAGGTTTGTGCTTCGGAGGACCTCTGATTGGACGAAAGGGGAAAAGCAATAGGGTTATTGATCTTCGCTTCGTTAAGACATCAGATTTTCCTTTGTGTTTTAAAAGATGGACAACTTTGGCCGCTGAGAGGCTGAAGGACAGAAATGAAATATTGACCGCTGGAGATGTCCCTTTGTGTCGTAGTTCAGTCAATGTTGTTTTTCCAGAAAATCCAGCAATCAGTTGGAGAAAGAAATACATTTTAGTGAGCTTAAAGATTTTTTTTTCTACTGGATGACTGAATCAATTCAAACACAGGTGGAGAAATCCTTTATGAGCGTGAAAGAAACCGGTTGGGCTGAGCAGAACTGCTTTGCTTTCATCGTTGAAACGGTTAAATCGAGGAGCTAAGTGATTGTTATTTATATTAAATATTTTCTTTCTAAACTCTCAAGACTATAATTAACATTTTGGTTGCAGATTTCATCTATGGTTCCAGTATATTTAATGGTATTTCTCTCTGGGAGAAAAGCAGGGCCTGCTGGTCAGGCAAGCAGAAGAAAAAGTTCTACTGGGTTCAATAAAAACCTTAAAATGCGAAGCAGATTAAAAATGCACCAAAGCACCAACCCGCTTAAAGTCACAGCACACCAGTTGATGATAATGGAAAATATTTTTTTTTCTTTTCCAGTACCGTGAAATAAGGAGCAAATCAAAATCCAGAATAGATCCCCTGTTTCTCTCAACTGTTAGAAGATTTAAAACTTATGTCAGATCATTTCCATTATGTTACTTTGAACATCTGAGCTCTTCTCTGCCCATCATAATTATGTTTGAACTCTTAAATATGGGCACTTTACTCCAACAGCCATTAATAGATTAAATCACTCAGAGTGATTGATGTGATGCTCATTCTGCCTTATAGTTGGTCTATATAAAGCCCTGTCTGCTGGTTTATTTCATTAGTTTCCATTAGTAAAGCATGCTAATGGTTATTTATACATCATCACTGCACAAACAATGAAGCAAGAACAATATAAATGAGTTATTAGTGGTGCTGAGGTGGAGTGGAGGATGGGCTGAGCTTCAATTAGGCCTCCTAATCAACTTCTACTGAAGGCTCCCATAAATAAAACATAATCAGAATAACATGAGAGTTTCCTGCTCTACACTTACTATAAAACAAAAGCAGTGAATGAAGACAGAATTATTATTATTATTATTATTATTATTATTATCAATGGCCCAAAATAACAGATAAATGGAACTTGATTCCTAATAAGGCAAACTATTATCCTGTCAAAGTTTAGCGCATGGAAAAACTTTTGCTTTTATTTATTCTCTATGTTTGTATTATAATTAAACAAAACTTTGGTGTGTACATGATTTTATAATCAAGTTATCTAAATAGATGCTTATGTTAAAATTAATAACAACAATCAGTTTAAAAGAACCAGAGAGAGTGGATCCAAAATAAAATATTATATTAAGACATAATAAGTGCTGCATTATTACAAATAAGTAGAATTTACTTTATTATTATATTTATCTATAAATATGTAATGCTGTGTCTATATGAGAGTTTGCTTATGATTTCAGAAACTGACTTCTCAAACAACTATTTTTATTGAACCTTCTGTTGATGCCAACGTCTTCATTTTAAAATGAATGAAATAAACAAATAAATAAATGTCCCTGTTTATACAAACTTTTTTCTGCTCATTATAAGAAAAATAAACCATTTCACCAACATCACTGATTTATTTTCCATCAGTTTCATAAGGCCTGAAAGACTCATCCATACATTCAACACAACTTTTTAAAACTGTTCTAAAATCAGAATAAAATTACATTTTACAAAATAGCAGCAGAACCAGAGAGTCTGTCCTATTCAAAGCACCAAAGTTTGAGATATTAGCCGATGATTACTTCTGTTTGTTCTGATTTACGGTGCGAACAGCGTCTGTTTCACACTGACTGATGGTTTGGATGCTGCACCTTTCCTATGGATGCATCCAATTTTAATCACAACTTAATGAATGTTGGAGCTTCCATTTACTCGCTCGTTTATAAAACACCCTGATGATCTACATGGAGCTTTAGTTTGGAAAATTGCATCTGAAAGGTGGAGTAAAAGCCCAGCAGGTTTAATAAATCTCCGTCCTCAGCTGCAGCCCAGGGGAGGATAAATGGGAACCTTGAAACGGGTTGGTGCCGTAAACTTCAGGTCCGGATTTGAAACCGAGCCTCTGCTGCTGGATCCTTTAATGACGTGTGATAAGTTTTAATGAGCTGCTGCCCCAGAAGGAGGGATTAGTTTGCTCAGGAGGTTAAACAAACATTTAAGTTAATGCAGAATTAGTGACGAAGACTCACTCCGTGTCTTGCTGGTACTTCCTTATGAGGAAGACGATGCCGATGATGACCCCGATGAAGATGAGGGTCCCCAGGACGCCTCCGACCAGAGCGCCTGTCTGCCGCTCCTGGACAGGCTCCCGTTTCTCTTCTTGTACCGGTGAAAAGAAGGCAGAGGGGGAGAGAAAGAGGAAACAAAGTGTTATTACAGGTTCATTTAAATTTCATGAGGCCGATCTCTGCATTTTAATGTTGCTCACTGGCGGTATTTGTGTTTTATGCGTTCTCCTGCTGAGAAGAAGGAATAATCTGCAGCCGTGTGATTCAGGAGTGCTTCATAAAACCGAAGCAGCGCAAAACATGTAAAACAAACAAACAAACAAACAGGGTGACAACACAGCACAGCCATAAAACAAAAAACACAGGCAGCTCTGAACTTCCTGCCGTAAAAATGCCATAAAGCTCTGACTCCATCCAGTACAACAAGTCATTTCTCTTTAATTAAGAATTTGTTTATGGTTTCCAGAGGGATGTGAGGAAACTGAACTGACCATAAAAGCCACTTCGATTGAGCTCTTATTTGAAAAGGCAGAAAAAAAGGCTGCTGCAGCAGCATCCGCAGCAGCAGCCGCAGCAGCATCAGCAGCAGCCGCAGCAGCAGCAGCATCTGCAGCAGCAGCGTTCCCTCGGCACAATCACAGACTATCCCTGGGAATTTGGCAGGAACAACAAAGAGGGAGGCTGAAAGGTTTTCACAGGTTATTTAGTCCTTTGTTTTGATTGTTTCCCATTTCCTCAGTAACTGAAGCGTGCCCACATCACTGTCTCTGGTACAGAGATGATAAAAGGACAACCTGCGATGTTTGTACCTGACTTTACTCATGTTCAAGTATTTACAGCAGCTTGCAGAAGTATTTACACCCCTTCAGCTATTCACCATTCCACCACATCACAATTCCAGAACATTATTAGGATTTTATGTGAAATATAAAACTAACTTCTAACCCTCCTTTTTGCTGCAGGTGCAGCTCAAAGTCTCAACATCTACAGAGTGAAACCTTTGACTAGTCCTCTTTGAAAACAGTTCAAAGTCAACCAGCCTGGACAGAAAGTGACTGAAGAACAACTCTTGAGTCTCTCAACTGGATTTAGGGCTGAACTTTGACTGGGCCATTTAAACACATTAATCTCTGCAGCCTCTGACTGGTTTCCTTCCAGGATCATCTCAAGTTTAGCTTCATTCATCTTCTGACCAGATTCCGTGAAGAAAAGCATCCCCACAGCATGATGCTGCCACTATCACTCTGCAGAAGCGTGGCTCAGGGTAAGAGTTTGTTGTGTATTCTCAGTCATCCAACATATAATCATCATAAACGCTTAAAAGATAGATAAACAGACTTCTTTGTATGTTTCCTGGAAATGTTTCTGGATATTCAGAACTGAAGATTTGCACTGATGAATTCATGCTCCCATATTTGTGGGAACATGAACATGGCAGATTATAATCAGTGAGAGAGGATCTACATTTACATTTTGTAAAAATACTCTCTACCTCCAACTGACACGCCTGACTTTAGCTAGCAAGGCTTCCAATGTCTGCACCAGTCAACCTTTTCTATTTATCTGCGTTTCATCTCGTCGTCCCGACTCAAACAAACAGCTTTACCACCGAATTCTGCAAATAAATACTTATAAATCCACGTTTTGACAAAACCTTTGCATTTTCCTTCGTCATTTTGACGGCTAAGGTCGTGACCTCCTAGTGAACACATTTGGCTCTTGTGTCATCATGTTAAAGAAGCAACTTCATAATCAAACCAATGCAGCTTTTGTCGAGACATGAGGTTAAATTGTTAAATATGTTTTCGTGGGATAGACAGACTCAAACAAGTATTTATTATTGACTGACTTTGTTTTCTTCCTGAACAGCAGGGGGCAGCCTGTTCATATGCAGGTACATTAGATGGACAGGCAGATGCAGCAGCTTTTCTTTCACAGCTGGACACAGAAACAGTCAGAAAACATCCAGACAGCTTCAATCCGTTTCTCCCTACATAAGAGTTTCTTCAAAGCTCAATTGATGTGTAAAAGATCACAATTTAGATCTTTCTTTTGTGCACCGTTAACAGCAAACCTGCTTTTCAACAAAGACTGGGTTACCCTGCTGCTAGGGAAATTCCCAACAGGTGACACAGGAGTCAGGATTTAAAACAGGAACAGAGATCTTATTGAATTCAGAATTGAGGTGAGAGGAGGCTGCCTCCCACGAGGAGAGGACTGCTGCAGAGAAGATTGATGGAGGAAGCAGGGAGTTTGTTGGAGGGCAAATGCAAAATGTGTTAATAATCTATCAGAGAAGCCCATCGCATCTCTCTGAACAGAAAAAGCGCTTCAGGAATCCTCATCAAATACGACCGACGCTCTCTCTGCAGGGAAACCAGAGGTGCACCAAGCAGTAATAACTTTGTTCTCGTGCACCTGCTCAGACGAACAGCTTGAATCCAGAAAAAAACATGTTTCACTGTCGAAATGTCATTTTAAAAAGTTTTTGCATCTAACTGGTAGAAAAGTTTGTTGATATGGAAAATATGCAGGTTGTTTTCTGACCAATATTCTAATTACAGGGCCGATATTTAGCCATGTCCTTTACAGCAGCGCTGCTCCACCACGCAGCGCAGAAATGAAAGAATGAAAAGGGCAGGAAATGCCAGGTGGTGTTTGTGGACACAGAGAGAATTTGATTTCCATGACTATGGAAATGTGTGAAATATATTATCAAACTCGGGGTGTTATCAGACTCCATGCAAAGATTATAGGAGCACAGGGTCAGAGTCTGAAGAGCAGAGAAAACCAGGAGGGATTTTTTTTTTTTTTTTTACCGTTTATCTGCTTTTGGTTGAATTTAAAGCAACTAAAAAGGTCAGAAGAATCACAGAAAATTGCAACATTTGTTACATTTTCATCTACTGTGGTTCTCTGTCACAATGTTAAGTGTCAAAGAAACCAAATGAAATGAAATAGCAGTTTCCCTCCTCACCTGTGGGGGCGCTGCACCAAGAACCACTGAAGGAAACAACATGAAAATCTTTAAAGAAACTAAAACGAAGCGGCATCAGATTTCAGCAGCTGTAGGATTTCTCTTTTGTCTTTGGTAAAAAACCAAAATTGAACCATTTCTCGAGCTAGCACTACTGTAGAATGTTTGTTTTGGCTCCATTTACCCAGAATGCACTGCACCATAGTCCGGTTCCTGCTTTTTGAGAGGTCTCTGGTCCACTTGGAGTTTACATATGCAGAGTTCACTTCAACAAAAGAACATGTAATTTTCATTGTAGAAATGTCCAGATTCAGAGAAACAAATTGGAACCTTAGAAAAATGAAAATGAAATCTGACATTGTTGATTTATCGAAAAAGGATTTTACATAGAGCCAGGTTGACTTGTGTAACTTTAGTTACCTTATTGAAATAAGTAACGTGAGAACTGCAAATTGTTTCAATCGGATTTCAATATTATCATCTTAAATTTCTTGTCAATAAACAAACAAACGAAGAACTGATGCCTGGCATGCTAACCTGTTTCCAGTTTGAGGAAAGCACAAGAGTGAAAACTTAGTGTGGGCCGAGGCTCAAACTGGGTTTTCTGGCATGATGATCAGCAGAGTAATGCCACTATACCAACCTCAGGAACATTCATATCCGAAGCAACAATGCATGCAACAGCATGTTGTTCAGCTTGGACACCATATTGCAGTGAAAATTAACTTTCAGGACCAAAATTAGGGAGAAAAGAGACAAGAATTACATTTTAAACCACAATAGAGCATCATATATCGAAGAACTGCATTAACATTTGACAGAAACATCTCCATCCTTACAGGGCAGCAGCTGAGACTAAGGATGGAAATTATTGATTAATGAGTTAATCTAAAATTATGTCATCATATCAATCGATTGTGGATTAATTGATATTTTCTTAAAAAATTTTTGTTTGTATCAGTTTTTCATATGCTGTCTGAAAAAAATATGACATTTTACTTATTTTGTGTCTGGTGTATACTGATAATTTCTCACATTAAGAAACGTTTATTTATAAAATATAACAGCATTCATAAGTTTCTGAATAGAAAGGTAAAACTAATTTTAATCTATAACCTATTAATTGATGGTTATAAATTGATTAACTGTTCTAGCTCAGACTTTAACGAGCGACACAAAAGAAGCAGAAATGTGATTTTTTTATGACATCCATGTGGAGCCAATGAATCTGCTGTTAGTTGGATTAGATCCCAGTGTTTTTTCAGCATATTAAGCTCTGGTGTCCTTTTGTTTTCCTTTTTGGAAAAGTGAAGAAACGGGGACGTATTGCTGTGTAGAAGGAAGCTACAGAGGCTTTTCCCTCCAGATAACATCCTGTTTGTTTCTCGCTCCACCGCCTGGGTCAGCCTGAATCTGCACACATTACGCTACTATCAAAGTGACACTCAAATGATCTGAATTTCTGACCGCATCACATGCAATTTAAATGGATCTGAAATAACAGCTCCCTGTGTTAAGTGCTCCATCGCTCTCACATACAGTGAGGGGGCTATATTAGCAATCAGAGGAGCACACTGAGCCCAAGGCCTGCACTTAAACTGCTTCTTTCTGCTTTCTGCCGAATTATAAAAACACAGAAAAACAAGTACACTCTACAAAACAGGCTGAAAATGATGTTGAGGAGTTTGTTTTCACTGATCCCACACAGCAGCTATTACTGTTAAATAAAGATGTATCACAGAATGAAAGAGTTGATATGTCAGTTTTATCGACAACTATGTTATAAAAGTCAATTAGCAAATAGTTGAACTGGTTCATGTGTTGCTCTGGACACTTCAAAATATAATTTGATTATAGAAAAGGTTTAAAATCAGATTGAAGGGAAACAACTTGGTTGGGTAGAAAGTCAGGAGGAGTCCCTCCTCCTGATGTTCAGGAGGAGGGACTGGTGCAAAGTCAGCTGAGCTGAATATTTTGATAACTTTTCACTAACATGCATTATAACCCCTTTTCTTCAAAATGGCCTTAATATGACATTCATTGTTCATTATTCATCAAGTATAAATAAAGTCAACTTTAATGATTTGAACAGATTTAGCATGCTAAATAGATTT